GGTCAAAGAAAAAGTCACTGAACCAAAAGTGGCAGTTAAACTCCCTTACCCCACAAGAAACAAGAAGAATGGGCAGCATGAGAAAAACTTTGAGAAATTCTTAGAGATGTTCAAAAAGCTTGAACTCAACATTCCTGGCTTTGAGGCACTCGAGAAAATGCCTACTTATGCCAAGTTCATGAAAGATATCATATCAAAGAAAAGAACCATCGATATCTATCCTATTATTTTAACTGAAACTTGTAGTGCTATTTTGTAGGGTATGAAGATTCCGGTAAAGAAGAAGGATCGAGGTTCTGCTACTATCCCTTGCACTATTGGGGATAAATCTTTTAAAAAAAGGCTCTTATTGATTTGGGAGCAAGTGTTAGTCTCATGCCATTTTCTATCTACAAGAAATTAGGGATTGGTAATGTGCAAAACACAAGGATGACACTTCAGTTTTTCGATCATTCTTTGAATATACCTTATGGAATAGTGGAAGATGTTCTGGTGAAAATTGACAAGTTTGTATTCCCGGTGGATTTTGTTGTTCTTGAGATGCCGGAAGATGAAGAGATTCCTCTTATTCTTAATAGACCATTTTTAGAGACTGGAAGATGTTTGATAGACATAGAGGAGGGTACCATGACTCTGAAAGTCTATGATGAAGAGTTGAAAATTGATGTCCGGAACACTATGAAGTATAAGGATGATATTGCCACAAGTCAACATATTGAGGTAATTGATCAAGTTGTTGCTAATGAGAATTCTTTGAATACACAACAACTACCTTTGGAAAAAGTTTTAAGCTTATCAATTTTTGAAGAAACTGAAAAGGTTGATGAAAAAGAGATGGAAGCGTTAGCTATGATGGATGCAATTCCGTCTTTCAAAGGGACTCGACCAAACTGGTGGAAATATTTAAGGAAACCTTCAATCGAGGAGAAGAAAGATGAATTTAAGAAAGGGGCTCAACTGAAACAATTACCTGAGAACCTCAAATATGTTTTCCTTGACACTAACAATAGATGCCCAACGATAATAAGTTCCAATCTTGAAGCTCTCCAAGAGGATAAGCTTGTCAAAGTTTTGAAAAAACATAAAAGTGTTATTGGATGGTTAGTTGAAGATTTGAGGGGGATTAGTCCTACGGTTTGCATGCACAAAATTCTTATGGAAGATGATCATAAACCGGTTGTCCAACCCCAAAGAAGACTAAATCTCGCAATGAAAGAGGTAGTCAGAAAAGAAGTGGTGAAACTGTTAGATGCTGGGATGATTTATCCTATATCTGAAAATTCTTGGGTGAGTCCTATACATGTCGTGCCAAAGAATGGAGGAACGACTGTGATCAATAATGAGAAGCATGAGTTTATCCCTACAAGTACAATTACAGGATGGTGAGTCTTTATCGATTATAGATGATTGAACCTTGCTACGAGAAAGGATCACTTTTCGTTACCATTCATCGACCAAATGTTGGAAAGGTTGGCCAGTCATGAGTACTATTATTTCCTTGATGGTTACTCAGGGTATAATCAGATAGCTGTTGTACCAGAAGATCAAGAGAAGACAACATTTACATGCCCTTTTGGTATTTTTGCTTACAGAAGGATGCCATTTGGGTTATGCAATGTGCCGGCCACCTTTCAAAGATGCATGCAATCAGTTTTTGCTGATATGCTTGAAAAGCATATGGAAGTCTTCATGGATGACTTCTCAGTTTTTGGTAAGTCTTTTGATAATTGTTTAAATAACCCTGTCCTTATCTTAGAAATATGCTAGTAGACCAATCTAATCTTAAATTGGGAGAAGTGTCACTTCATGGTGCGCGAAGGCATAGTCTTGGGTCATAAAATTTCCTACAAGGGAATAGAAGTGGACCAAGCAAAGATTGAAGTAATATCAAAGCTTCCCCCACCGACGAATGAAAAAGGTATTAGAAGTCTCTTAGGGCATGCGGGTTTTTACCTTAGATTCATAAGAGATTTTTCTAAAATAGAAAAACCCTTAACGAACCTTTTGGTTATGGATAGGGTTTTTTGTGTTTAATAAAGAGTGTGTCGTGGCTTTTGAAACCATAAAGATTAAATTAGTATCGGCACAATTGTAGTATCCCCTGATTGGTCACTCCCTTTCGAGATCATGTGTGATGCTAGTGATATTGCAGTAGGGGAAGTTCTGGGACAACATAGAGAAAAATTTCTACACATCATTTACTATGCTAGTCATGTGTTGAAACCTGCACAGATGAACTATGCAACTACCAAAAAGGAGTTGTTAGCTGTGGTTTATGCCTTTGATAAATTCAGGCAATGTCTGTTGGGTTCTAAAGTCATTGTTTATACTGACCATACTGCTTTGAAGTATTTATTTTCTAAGCAGGACTCTAAGCCAAGACTAATGAGATGGATTTTACTCCTTTAGGAGTTTGATGTGGAGATTCGGGACAAGAGAGGTTGTGAAAAAACTATTGTTGATCACTTCTCTCGTATGTCACCAATTGAAGAAACAAAGGATAAGCGACCAATAAAGGACGAGTTTTCTGATGAACACATCCTTGCTGTTATTGGTGTACCATGGTTCGCAGATTATGCAAACTATCTAGTAGGAGGTATCATCCCTTATAACTTTGATTCTAACATAAAAAAAAGTTTGTTCATGATTGTAGGTTTTACTTGTGGGATGATCCCTTCTTATACAAAAGAGGGGTGGATGGAATGATAAGAAGATGTGCGCCTGAGCAAGAACAAGAAGATATATTGAAAGCATGCCATGCCTCGGAATACATAGGAAATTTTAGTGGTGATAGAACTGCAACTAAAGTCCTCCAATCAAGTTTATATTGGCCATCATTGTTTAGGGATGCTCAAGAGATGGTAAAAGAGTGTGATAAATGTCAAAGAATTGGGAATATCTCTAAGAGAAACCAAATGCCTCAGAATTCTATGTTGGAAGTCGAGTTATTTGACGTTTGGGGAATATATTTCATGGGACCTTTCCACCATCTTTCGGGAAGAACTATATCCTAGTGGCAGTTGATTATGTGTCAAAATGGGTTGAGGCTGTGGCTTTACCTACAAATGATGCAAAAGTGGCGGTGAGATTCTTGAAAGAAAACATTTTTTCCAGATTTGGAGTACCGAGAGCACTCATAAGTGATGAAGGAACACATTTCCTGAATCACCTCATGGAAAGGTTACTCCAGAAGTACAATGTTAAGCATAAGGTCGCCACACCATATCAGCCTCAAACAAGTGGCCAAGTAGAAGTTTCAAACAGGCAACTTAAACAAATTCTTGAGAAAATAGTAAGTTCTTCTTGGAAAGATTGGGCGACTAAGTTGGATGATGCTTTATAGGCTTATCGAACTACTTTAAAAATGCCAATCGGTATTGTCATACCCCAATTTTTTACCTAAGATCCCATTTTTATTTTTATTTTGCATTTTTGTACAAAAGTCAAGGTCACTAAATACAGTCGGTTTTAACCTCTCACCTTCGAGCATTGACTATGCAGAAATTGTCAAGTGTTTTGAACATTCTTAGCCTATGTATCACTAACTTCTAATCAAGCACGAAATGTGTTTTTTTTTGTTTCTTTGATTTCATGTGCAGAGACAAGTCTAAATCAAGGACATCAGGCGTTGCGCTTCAATTAGGGTTTTGAGTTCTTCAAGCCAGAAGTACAATTGATTATTGATTCTCGAAGACTAATTCGTTAAGACACGACTTCTAAAGCTTTGTTCAGGCTTATTTTGATCAGGGTTGTTTCAAGTGTGATAGCTTCTGTCTTGAGGATCTTCAGAGGATCGTGTGTTTATTTCCACGCCTTGTTCAAAAAGTGGTATCGAGTTTATTCCAAAATTCCCCAAAGCACAGTCAAGCTTTCATCATCACTGGTTTATATGTGCATCAAGATGCTTTAGAATGCGAAGAAGGATCAAGTTTGCAAGTCGATTCAAAGCATTTCGACCAAAAGTCAACTCTTGCAAGTTCAAGTTCAAACAGTCATGCTTCTTCAATTTTCAACATCCCGAGGCAATTCTTTTGCAAAGTATCACAAATAGCGTTGGTTATGAGATTACTTCAAAGATTAAGGTGCAAGTCATGCCACAAACATTTTCTCAAGAACGTTTGATTTTTCTGTTGGGATAATTCATGAAACTAGAGTTTTAGTCCAATGATTCTTTGAATGATTGTGGACTACTTCAAGTCATTTTGAAATTGAACAGTAGCGATCATTGGATTAAGGTGGATTGTCGATTGAATTTCTTAAAGGCACGATTTGCACTATTTGTCTGTATTGCAAATTACTATGAGGCGAAGACGCGAGTTAGGGTTGAGAATTCTTCAAGTTCTTGTTGTTTGCATGCTAACTTGGATTTGAGATCTAGATCAAGATTGAATTCATTGTTGTGAAGTTTTCTTTCAAGTAACCAATACCATAAAGCCAAAATATCCGAGTTTTGTCAAATAACATTAGGGTTCTTATTTGCAAGAGAGATTCAAGAAGGTTTATGAATTTGATGTCTTGAGTAAGATGCATTCCAATTTATCATGGTTTATTTCAAGAGTGCAAGTTCGTTAATGTGAATTGTTCAAAATATCAAGAATTATTCAAGACCTTTCTCAAAATTCAACTTCATTCATCATTCATGCGTTTCAAACTCAAAGACAAATTTCGACACAAATTTTAATTGGAGTCAAATTGCATGTCAATTCGGACTAGAGATTAAATTAAGGGAGCAAGATGATTTGGTGTAAAATTTATTCAAGATTCTCATTCATGTGAATTCAAGAGGTTACAAAGTACTTTCATTACAATATCACTCAATTCTCAAGACATATAAAAAATATAACTTCAAAGTTCCAAGTAACCTTTGTCTCATCCATTTGCAAGTTACACAAGCTTAAATTCCCAAATTACATTCAATCAAGCTCTAAGTCAAAATTACAAGTTACCACAAGAATCTTACACAAGTGTTTGTACAAGAAAACAAAAATCTAAACCTAAAGCTAAGACTTGTTCTTGATCCAAAATTCATGCCACATATTGCCTTCAACAACCTTGTAGACTTTGCTGCAAAATTCCAGCTCCTGTATAATGCCAAATAAACAGTCAAATTGTGACATCTCCTTGTCCATAATTTTGCAGCCATAAGACAAACATAACAGGCCAAAACTTAGCATATCAGCCTACAAAATCAAATCAACCAGCACAAACCAGAAGGAAAAACTGTCAAAACCTACTATTGTTGTCCACACTAAGCCTTGTCTTTATCCAAACATAAAGCTCCAAAACCTGTTGCATTACTGTCCCAAAAGTATACTGCTATGCTGCCAAAATTCTGATACCTTCTTACTGCTCCAAAGCCTTGCTATACCACTGCTGCCTTGCTCATAACCAGTCCATAATGCTATATCCCAACCTGCAAAAAGCTGCATCATATCAGTCCAAACCAGTCCAAGGATTGCACTAAAATAGGTAATCAAAAACTACATCAATAAAGTGATAAAAACATAATAGTATATTTGTTCAAAAACCTTACTTGTTTCCTCCAAAAAAAAAACACATTGTTCCATATAAAGGAGGGAGCTCAGCATTGTATCAAGGGGGAATGGGGGAGAAAAAAGTTAAAAACACACAGCAATTACTACAAAAATTATGCTCGATACAGAAAACCAGAAAGATATCACACAAAAATTTCAACTGAGATCATATAAAATTCTCAACAAAAAAAACACACATAAGAAAGGATGGAAAGCTATGTCATACCTCCAAAAACCTCGCTGCTGAAAACCTAAGGCCGTGACACCCCTCACGTCTCTGTTGAAACAACCGCTGTAGCATACTTGGCTTCCGGTAATTCGAAAACAACAACAATAGTCTTCACAACTGCAGTAACAACAACAATACATTTGTATCAACAACAACAACAACCAGAGTTAGAGAAATTAGAAGAAGAATTTGTACCTTATGCGGATTATCCTTTAGTATTCTTCTACAATTCGTAACGAGTTCGTTTCAACAACAATTGAGACGAGTCTCTGAGGTAAGCCTTAAACCTTCATCTTTTCTGCATCCGAGTATGTAAATGAATTGCCATGAATTATTGATATCGCGAGTGGTTCCGCGAAATCGATGAAGAATCTGAAATCGAAAACACGATGACGATAGAAGTTTGGTTTGGTGGTGCTGAGTTGAGTTTAGTCAGAGAGAAAGGACGAAACCGCGGAGGGAGTATTGGTTGGTGCTGTGGTTGAGATGACGGCGACCGAGTTGAATGGACGAAACCACGGAGGGAGTATTGGTTGGTGCTGTGGTTGAGATGACGGCGACCGAGTTGAATGGACGAAATCAGTTGAGAGAGGAATTGTTTTCTTATTTTGATTTCTGGTGTTCACGTTTGAGAGGGTTTGGGAACCTTGAACAAAGAGAGGCGCTAGAATTTAGGGTTTTCTAACCCATTTTCCTTTGATAAATCTGGCCGGATCCGGGTCCAGCCTGACCCGATCCGGCCCATTGTTTTATTTTTTATTTATTTTTAGTTCTTTTATAAATCGTTTTTTACAAACCTGGGCTAGTTTCATTCCTTTTTTAGGCCCAATCATTTTTACTACTCCCCCTCCAATAATTATTAGTTACACCCTTTCAATTTGTTTATTTTAAATAATAATTAGTTTAGTTAATCTAGCTATTTTGTAGATTTAATTAAACAACTATGTTTTAGTTAACTAGATAATCTTAATTATTTAGATTAGTTTTAGACTTAATTTAATAACTTTAGAATTTTAATTTAATTAGATATAAATTAGTAATGTTAGAACCTTTAATTGGTTTAGGTATATTTTGATAACTTAAAAATTTTAATTTGTTTAGATCTATTTTATAACTTTAGAACTCCTAATTAGTTTAGATACATTTTGATAACTTTAGAATTTTGATTTAGTCTTAGAATTTTAATCTTTAATTTAGAATTAATTTAGTTTAGATTTAAGTTAGTTTAGATTAAATTAGTAATTTTATAATGAACTTAGTTTATACTTAAACTAGTTTAGATGTAATTTAGTAACTTTAGAATTAATTTAGTTTAGACCTAATTCAGTAATATTAGAGTGTTAATTTATTTTAGATTTAATTTAATAACTTACTAATTTTAGTTAGTAACTTTAGAATTTTAATTTAGTTTTAGTTAATAACTTCAAAATTGTATTTAATTTAGTTAGACACTTTAGAATTTAAGTTTAGTTTACTTAGTAACCTTAGAATTTCAAATTAGTTTAGATAATTTTTAATTACACTTTTCTTTTATTCATGATTCTTCTTCGTCCATTCATTTAGTTTCATACAATTTATCTTGTTATCTACCTTGTTCGTTTCTCGTGAATTTTAATTATTTATGCTTTCTTACTTGAATATTAGATCTACCTACTTATTATTAATTCCAAGGGAAATGTTTCAACTCAGCTGACTTCATGTCATCAAATACATCTCCTACAAATCGTGCGAATACCATCATTCATTTTTTGTTTGTTTACTATTTTTCTAAACTCAAGATAATTTTCCTAAAAAAAACTCAATTTTCAAACTCACACCTTTTAAGTCAAAAATTTCGACATTAGGTCGTCGTATCTTCAAAAACTCGTCCATACCCATTTTTGGCCAAACAAACCATTTTTTTTAATCGAACAAACAATTTTTATAAATTGATATTTCAAAAGGTTCCTATAGGATAATATAGATACATTGGGTGCTAATACCTTCCCATTGTATAACCAACCCCCGAACTCTAGATCTCTTTTCAAAAATCGCATTGTATTTTCATTACTTTTAAGTATTATTTTACATTGCATATTTTAGAGTTTTATTTCGCTCTTTTCCCTTTTCCCTTGGAAATAATAAAGCGCGGTGACGACTCTTGCTTCTGCGAGTCAAGTTAGTTAATAGCTCGATCTCCGATTTTCATCGCTACAGGTATGTCACCATACCAACTAGTCTATGGCAAAGCATGCCATTTACCTTTGGAGTTAGAGCACAAGGCATTCTGGGCATCAAAACTTCTAAATATGGGTCTGTCTAAGTCAGGAAGTTCTCGGATCCTTCAACTTCATGAGTTGGAGGAATTTCAGAACCGCGCCTATGAAAATGTGAAGGTTTATAAAGACCAAACAGAGAAATAGAGTGATAAAAGGATTATGAGGAAAATTTTTTATGAAGGACATCTGGTCCTCTTGTACAATTCTAGGTTGAAGCTATTCCCTAGAAAACTGAGATCCAAATGGTCAGGACCTTTTATAGTGCACAAAGTGTTTTCCCATGGGGCGATTGAATTGAAAAATCAAGCAAATGGTGACACTTTTAGAGTGAATGGGAAAAGGTTGAAACCCTATTATGCAGGGCAAGAAGGTGGTTAAATTCATCTTATTCGTCTTACAGGGTGAGATGAACAACCGTCTAGCCATGCGACGTAAAACGAAGCGCTTCGTGGGAGGCAACCCACGCGTTTTATTTCTAATGATTTACACATTGACACCATAATGCCAAGGGACAGCTTTGTCCGAGGCGTATGGGACAGGACCAGGAAAGGTGATTATTAACGGAGCGACTCTTGGAGCAGATGTAATCATAACAGGTCTTCTTGAGGAGACCTTGGAAGGATTGGAGGAAATGGTTATAATAGCAACATCTTCAAACAGAACAACGGGAATTAAATTTTTCTCGAACAAGATTTCTTTGCTGTCCATCAGGCGCTGAAACCTGACTTCAACAAACGGCAACTAGAAGGCAGAGATGAACACATGTGGCAACCTTCACCACAAACCAGAAATAAATCATCCGACAACAAATTCTTCTTAACCGTCATAAAAGGAGTAGCAACTTTATCAATTGAGGTCACAAGTATCAATGGCATTAACTCCCCGATTTTGCTTAGGCATGGGAGCAGTTATGACATTGGGCTTTTCCGGAGCGTCGAACTCAATTTCCTTGGCCTCGATCAGATCCTGTATCTTATTTCTCAGAGCCCATCAGTCATTGGTATCATGGCCAGGACTCTCAGAATGATAGGCACACCGAGCATTTGGATTATACCGAGGAGATGCAGTATTCGGATTCTTGGGAGCCTCTTTCAAGGTTACCAAGTTGGATCTCAGCATATGGGGTAGAACTTCAGCCAACGCCATGTTAATCCGGGTAAACTGCCGTTGTGGTCTTTCCACCCTTTGTTGATTGTTGCATTGTGGAGCAACTGCAGACCTAGGTATCATTATGGCACTTACTGTCTAACGGTGTTCAGCTCTATTTTGACCTCGCAGGCTATAGACGATACTGGCTTCCTTCTTACCAGTGAAAGGCTTCTTTACCGAGCTCGAAGAGGCATCTTTCTGTATCTTTCTGCTCCAGATCCCAGCTTCTACCCTCTCTCCAGTTAGAATCAGCTCAGTGAAACCAGCTGACGCCGATCAAATGATTAAATAATGGAGCAGATAGCGTCCCCAGAAACATATCGATCAACTCCCTATTAGACAATTGGGGTTGGACTCTTCCAGCCAAGTCTCTCTACTTCTGTGCATAGTCCTTAAAGCCTTCACTTGCACCCATGGACATACTCTGGAGTTGAGTACGAGTAGGAGAAAGGTTGGCATTATATTGATACTGCTTATAAAAAGCACCAGCCAGATCTTCCCAACTTCGGACATTGGCTCTCTCTAGTTGGTAGAACCATTCAAGCTGAGTCCCTGACAGACTGTCTTAAAAGAAGTGAACCCATAAATTTCTATCAGCAGTGTGGGGCTGGATCTTTCTGACGTAGGAACAGAGATGGAGTTTTGGGCAAGACACACCATCGTACTTTGCAAAAATTGGAGCCTTGAACTTCTGCGGGATGACCACTCCCGACACCAATCCCAATTCTTCGAAATCTGACCCGGGTATCCTCTAGAATTCCATAGCACTCAGACGATCTTCCAACTGCTTGCATCTATCTTCAGTAGGAGGATACTGCTCATCATTGTAGTCTGTATCATTGTCAGAAACTTCAGGACTGGGGTCCTTTTCCCTTGTTTCACCCTCTTGGTTCTCCCCTTCATTGGATGAAGAGGTTAGATCGAATTGTTGCTTTAACGGCCCCCTGAACCTTCAACCCATATTCAGAATACCAACGACCTTCTTATTTTTCTTTTTCTCCTTCAGGATGAGGGATTTCAGATCCTCCTGCCCTTTCGCCAGATTTATGAACATCTGTTGGAATTGGGCATTTTGTGCCTGAAGATCCTTGATGCTTTATTCAGAATACATTTCTGCTGAAATAAACAACAAATAAGATGAGAAGCATGTAATGGTACTTGTTTATGTGATGCTATGAATGGGATGCGTATGCAATGATTTCAAGGATTCTTAAAGGCTCAGATTTGTTTAACCAAAAGAAACACACGTTAATTGTATTAATAAGTTCGAATTATTACAAAGAAGGCCCTTTAGGCTTACAATTAAACAAAACAAAACTTAAAGCAAAAAGAAACTAGGTCTCCCAGGAGCGCATCCTCTTTGGTGCAATGTAGGCGTTTATGTTCCTTTCTTCATGAAGTAGCCTGGTGAGCTCCAGGACCTTCTTCTCGCTGGCATAAAACTGAGCTTCAAATGCGTCCCGCTCCTCTTTGAGTTGGACCCAGGACTTCTGTAACTCTTCATGATCAATTGGCATGTCAGGATGATGAACAAGGGAGGTAGTATGTCCTTCAACAACTAGTTCCACAGTTATTGGTAGGACAACAGGGTAAGGCATCATAAGACTTTTGGCGCGAGCTCGTACCCATTAGAGATAAGGCTCAAGAGGAATGGAATTCTTGTTC